GTGATTTCACGACTGCAGGAGCCTTGCTGGGACTACTTCAGCCGACAACTCCACGAAATCAAAACTGTCGAAGACTCCTTGACGGAGACGCAGTCCATGAGCACTGGCTGGAGTCGGCATTGGAGCTTGACAGCAACTGCTAACATCCTGGTTTTGGAGGAGCATTGGCATGATTTGGTGCCCTGGGTCCAGGACCCTGAACAATTCATGAGGAAAGTCATGGATTATGGTTTGGAACTGCTGGCCAATCGTTGTGCAACATTTTCCAAGTATGGCTCCCCTCCCGGGTGTTACAGCAAAGTGCTGAGTGCTCCTGGTCCGGAATCTATCAACGCCATGAAACTGATGAAGGCGGACTGGCTATGCTTGCAGGGCGTGGAATGCAGTGGTGTGCCGAAGGCTAGCATGCTGGCTGCAGATCTCAGGTTGACCTTCGATCCTTGCGTGCGCTACACTGCCCTTCAATTTCAGTCACACGGTTGGCGAGTGAGGTACCAAGCTGGACGAGATTTGTTGCAATTTCTCACAGCCACATTTCCGGATAGCAAGATCGTCGAGGATTGTCACCAACTCCTACGAACAGCCACAGGTCCGAAAGCAAACCACAAACTCTCAGGCACATGTGTACAGCAGCTGCTGACAAACTCAGACATACTGGAGCGTCGGGGCATGGCTCACCCTGCCAGATTGACCAGAGACATTCCTCAGGTACTGGCACAAGGCCAAGGATGATTTCAGGCCCAATCCAGAGTTTGTAGCCGGCCGTCACAAGCTCCCGAAGGAAATGTCCAAAGTCTTGGATCTCAAAACTTGGGACACAATTTCAGAGCAACACTTGGTCAATTCTGCTGCAGCGTGGTCATTCCTGCGCTACTACAGTGAGAACCACTTGAGCGCGCAAAACGTGAAACTGAAGGCCTGGGGTGAGTCAATAGATTAGTGGTGGTGTTTCAGTGATTCAATTGCTCCGCTTTTGAGAAAACACTGATGTTGTTCAGGATGGCTTGTGGGCTGTGTTTGCCCAGTTTGGGCAAATCATTACTTTGCGCGACGTGGACGAGAGCTACATTGTCTTGGGTTCCTTCAAGTGGGCGGTTTTGGCATGGCGGGTGTCCGAACAATATGAGGGTGGCAGGTGCTCCGGTTGGCAGTTGCAGGTGGAGGCCGGTTGCTCATGGCAGTTCCTTCACGACCCTGAGTCCTGGCTAGGATGTGAAGCCACTCCGGCATGGTCGGCAAATGCAGGACTTTATTTCAAAGCCACTGGTGTTCTGGAACCACTTGTGCAAAACGCTTTGCGCTCTGGGCACAGAAGAACATTTGCGGAGTTGACACTGATGGCGGACTATTTGAACTTGACACAACCCCACAAGAATTCCAAGAAGGAGTTGTTGCAACAGTGTCAAGCCTGGTTCGGAGAAGAGTTTGCTGAAGCTTGCCGCCAGGCTGCAGAAGAAAACAATCAGAAGCCTGATGATGCCGGGATGCCTGATGGTCTTGTATCTGCATTGCTCGAAAACATGGAGCCGTCGGATAAGCAGGAGTTTCAAGACCTCGAGAAATCCGTGATGCGACAGGAAGAGCGGGCCCTGCAGCAACGTTGGCAACACATGTGGGCTGAGAAACTTGCCGAAGAAAAGGCATCTTGGCGACTATCTCAGACTGAATTGTTGTTTTATCGTGTCCTCAATTGTCTCCTCAAATTGTCTCCTGAATTGTGAGTGTCGATTGTCTCCTCAATTGTCTCCTCAATTGTCATCTCAATGAATTGTGACTTGCTTGCAGGCAAAACGGGCCAAGAGAGCTATGGCAAAAGCAAAAGCAAAGTCGAAACCCTGTGCCAAAGCAAAATGCAAAGGCAAGGGCCTTGGCAAAGGCAAGGGCCGTGGCAAGGGAAAAGGGCTTGGAACAGGCACATCCTTGCAAGGGCTCGCTCGGAGGCAAGCAGTCGCACGAAAGCGCAAGGCGCAAGTGCTGGAGGAAATTCCAGGACCAACAGTGGAACAGGATCCACTGGTGGCTGAACTCAAGTTGGAACTGGAAAGCCAACTGTTGGATATACACGTGGACGAAGCAAGCGAAGCAGATCCCGCCCCCTCGGCGGAACCTTCTGTCGATGCCGCTCCCAGTCAACATGCTGTACTGGAACAGTCGGCTTCCCTGCCGCCTGCAGGTGTTGTTGAAGAACTTTCCGAGGCATGTGCTCCGGAATCAGAGCAACATGGTGCTGCCAGACCTCTGTTTGCCAGAGCTGATGGTGATGCCGAAGAGCCATCGGCGGTTGCACAGAGGGCAACAGCAGTGCAGGCACAGCCATCCATTGAGACCTTGCCCGATCCAATGTCCGGGCCAAGGGAAACTGGAATGGCACAGCCCTCCTCCTCCAGCGGATCAGCCCCTGTGCAGGGCCCTAATCCTGCTTCTTCGCATCATGGGCAGGCCTCTGAACGTGGTCCACGCGAGCATGGTCCACACCTGAATAGCACTCCCGACTTCCTGTCAGAGTTGGACCCGCCAGAAGACTTCAAGTTGCGTCTCAGTTTCAACGATCATCGCTTCAAAGCCGAGATCATGACAAAGGAATATTTGTCACGTGACGGGAAAAAATCTTGCAGCCACACCTTTGCCCGTGTCAGATCAGACTGGAAGCAAGCACTGGCCCACGTGCATCGCTGGGCATGGACAGAGTGGCAGGCGGCCAAACCCGAAAGGCAATTCCCGGCCAATTGTCAGCCTGGTGTTATCCCTGAGGCTTATCTGGAACGCCTTGCACCCATTATCGACGCCCTGCCTCGGCCTACAAAGTACGCCAAGTAGCTGCCTCTTTCAAGTGTCAATTGTTTGTGATAAAACTTCACAGGGGAGCAGCGCACGTCAGCAGGTAGCAGATTGCTCTGAACTGAATTAAATTATTAAGTGAGGAATGCATGTAACTCACGTGTTCTTTGCTTCAAGTGTGTTCGATTCGAAAACAAACACAGGGAGTGCCAACACGAAATTTCAAACTGCTCCTGCTGTGATAGCATTCTGGGCAACATGTTCACGATGGCTTCAGCTGTAGTCAGTCTGTGGTGCAGGGGCTCGAACTTTCGGGCTTAGATAAGTAGGATACTCCACAGTTCTCCGCGGTGCTTAGAATTGCTGAATGCCTGAAGTCTGAACAATTATAGACATTGGGGACATGACATGACATGAAGTCTCACTGTGGTCGTGCAGCAGATTGCTCGGGGAGACAGCGATCAGCAAAATGACACCTTTCCGACATTGTGCTCAGTCCTGTTAGTTTGTGGCAGGAGAACATGTATGTGCAAGCATTCAATCAGTCTTTTGTTCAAGTTGGCTCAAATCAATCTGATTCAATTCATTCATTCAAGTGTGAATGCATACTGTGCTACCCAGAGTTGCGATCAGTTGTTTATGGCACCGTCTGTGTGGGCGGCAAACAAGTTGCATGAGGGAGTCGCCAACATGTTCAATTTCCAGTGCCCGTGGCAGCATGTGGTGGGAACATCGCTGGTCTTCACTGGTAGTGCTGTGCCTGAGCAGCCACCACGCAAGAAATGCAAAAGGAAGGTGAAAGACACCAGCAATGCCAATGCCTTATCGTCATTGCAGTTGGAAGGTAGCTCTGGAATTGCACCGCCATGTACCCTTCCTGCCCTGACATTTGCAAATGCAGTTGAAGTTACAGACACTGCTGAGCGATTTCCCACTTGGGTAGAAGATGTGTTCCAGCAAACGTCACAGCTGCAATGCTCACATTTCCTTCCCTTTGCATCCTTATGTTACTCCCCCAGGCCGGAATCAGTTCAAACTCATTGTTACATTGTTATATTGTTATGTGTCACGGATTCTGGTAACAAGTAAGTATTAATAATTATCATGCCCAATTGATTTTGCTGGCCAGGTCCACAGAGCCTTGGTGTGAAAGGCTCGCTGTTGGGAGGATCCTGGTGCAAAGCTTTTTGAGCTATGACCGGGACTTCAATGTTGGCAGAGTGGCCATGAAATGGCATGGGCTGATTGGATTGGCTTATCCCGGCTTGAAGAACCGA